GGATCAGCTGGAAGAGCTTGCGGTAATTGCCTACTGCTCCTGCCTCCTCCATTTCTTGAGCCCTACTGGTCCATCAGACTTCCTTGTCAGCACGTAGGCTCTGCTTTAGTTCACGCCTAATATCCCGTCTGGTCACATTGTGTTCAGATCCAGCCGGAAGGTGTCTTCTAGATTCCAACAGGTTCACCGACCTCTCGGATATCCAGTGACTGGTGTGGTGACGATTGATAGTGCCACAAGCAGATGCTCCTGCGTCGTGCATGGCGGCCGAGATCCTATTCTACTGAAGCTCAGTGTCATTAGGACAAGCCAGCGGAAGTTCAATGTACAGTGCTTCTTGATAGGCTTGCCTAACCGAGGACTGAGACAATTTCTCCGTTACCAATCGTAGGGCACACTTGGTGCGCCTCCCGGTAAAGTTCATGGATAAACGGCAGCGTACTAAGACATGATCAGAGTCGACATAGGTATTCCAGTACGAGCGGCAGTCCAGCGTGGAACCACGCCATCTGTAACTTATGGCTATGTTGTCAATTTGGGTCCATCGCTGGCCAGCTACAGGAGGACGCCAAGTGGCACTTCGGCGCCCACGGTGTCTAAAAGCAGTGTTACTAAGAAACAACTAGTGCTCCGCACACAGTTGCAGCAGACGCTCACCGTTGTCAGTCCGTTCGGAGTTAAGCTCATAATTACCACCCAGCTGAGCTTCTGAAGAGCTCAGACGCCCTACTTGTGCGTTCACATCTCCTGCAAGTACTATAATATCTGAACTAGTAGCACTGCGAAGTAGCGCGTTCAGTTCGTGATAGAATGTGTCCTTGACAGCATTAGAACTGCAGTCAGTGGGATCATAAACGGAACTCACAAACAAACAGCGTTTTGTACTACTTCGTGAATCGACCTTAGCCGATGTCGTCAAACGGGCTGCACATAAACGGCTGTTTGCCGGAATCCAATCAAACAACGATGACAGCCTTGGAGCTTAGAATGATACCTACATCAGCTTGACCCGTGAGTGCCGCATCGGCGTCTCCGAATGCGTGCAACCAATAACGAGTGGATAAGCCGGGTGCAGTCAATTCAATAACCCCGTTAGTGTCATTGGTCCTACATGGTTGGCGGCATCCGGTTTCGGATTTGCCTGTCACTGTGGCAAGCCACAGGACGCCTGCGCCTACAGAGGGACCATGGATGGCTTGCGCTGCACCACCCACAGCTCCAACCACATACCCCATATCCAGTGTAAACCCGAAGGAATAAGACCGGGAGGCATGCGGATGGGAACCACGTTTCATCAACGGAGCCGGCCCACACTCCTTCACAGGCAAACACAAGCACGCTGTATTTGGGGAATCAAGCGCACACACAAGGCGGTGGCTGGACCGTAGTCCGCTCCACACTGAGTGCATGGAACCGCTCTTTGAGCCTAGCACGGCCACAAGAACCGTGCACCCCGTCCCCTCCAGCAACGACCAACTGTCTCCTGGAGCCAGTATGAACGATGTAGTGGGTAATAGACAGGTAGGCACCTTGTCAACATACACATCTAGCGCAACCACACCGGGGATATCAAACAACAGCCATTCACTTTAAACGACAAGTTGAAATAAAATAAATCCAGTAATGCATACAGATACGGTGGCATAACTCTTCGCTAATTTACCATATGAAGTAAGTGCGTTAACAACAAATCCGTGATAAGTAAGAAATGTCCACAAGTTACTTAAAAATGCTACAAAACGCAACAAAATTACCGAAGATAAGCGCAATTAGTGTAAGCAACGTGGCCAGTTAATAGAACATTATTCAGGGAGGCAGAACAAACCAAATAAAGCGGAATGAAATTTATCCAGCTTAAAAAGACCTAGTTTAAGTGTAAGTTGGTTTAGCCCAACTGCGGTGAAGATGCATCAAGAATGCAACATCAGCCTCAGCATGGGTCCTACATACAAACATACATACAACATACATCGATACCCAGTGTGTCTAAGGTGCGTGCGAGTGCAGCCTGTTGACCTATTTGTCTTAGAGTGCGAACGTTGAACGTCGCCATGGCAACGGGACAGCGTGGCCTTTTAAGGCGGTTGCCGATAGGCGTCCGATGGGTGTCGCGAGAAGGTGGCTGCACATGGTTCTACTCCAGTGGCACTTAGGTTGCTGTCAATTAAGCTGGGAATTATAGATGGAAGGTTAGTAATGGGGTTCGGATGGGAGTAAGAGAAAAAGGTAGAAAAGAAAGAAGGGAGGCGCCAGCAGTAGCATGTTTTCGCTTATCCGCCCTGTTGTATGCAGCAGATAAGGCGACCCTTGATAATCTGCGCGACGGCCGATGCAGGATGAAGTTTATGTTTGAAGAAAAAGCCATGGTTGTATGTGGGCTGAGGTACTGCCAGGGCGCCTAGACCGAGACAGGAGAACGATTAGGGTCCTCATCCAAAGCCTTTGGCTCAAAAGCCTGTCCGCAAGGCAGCGGGGAGATGGAAATGATTTATTTTTACAGAAATGGACGCCATCCCATTTCAAACCCCCAACCTGGAGGACCAGGAGACTGAGTTTGTCTGACCTCTCACCATTGACCAACCTGGTAGGAGTAGCTCTCAAGGTGACCGGAGGCATCACCCAGTATAGCTCAATGGGTCAATGAGGTACGCAAACCGTCGCGCCACCTTAAGGTCCAGTCTCGTTGCGACGGGGTGAGGGAAACTACAGAAAATAGAATCGAAGTATGAAGATGGGAATTAGTCAAGAAAAAGGAAAGGTCTCATTTTGTCACCCAAGAGCATCTAGCTGACGCTCAAACCCCCTAACCGTAGCTTCCTTGACAACATTTTCTGGAAGTAAGTTGCAGCGCTCGATGATGACGCGATAACCGTGTCTCCGCTCTAACTCGATCGGACCACGGTTTGTCTAGCTTCATACAATGTCCGCGGAGACCAGATAATCAAGCAGGACTAAATAGCCAAGACAACTCAGAGCCAACCTTCCCAGTCAAAATACGGTAGGTTAGGATTAGGTCCCCTCTAATCCTTCGATAGTGCATTAAATGCATCCCCAAACTAAGTAGGTGTTCGGGGTACGTTTGTACTCGTAACCCCTCGACCAACCTAGTACAGATACGCAACACCCTTTCTAATGCCATTTTGTCCCGGACAAGGCATGGTGGACAGGCCTGGACGCAATATTCTAGGTTGGGTCGCACAAACACCGAGAAGAGCTTCACAAATATATTAGTAGTTAGGGTCCCGAAAGAACGACGGATAAACTACAACATCTGGAACCCTTTACTAGCCGCCTTCTTCCAGTAGTGTCCTGAATGTAGTGTGGAACTGTGGACGACACCTAGATCAACCTGATGAGTCACGTAAGGAAGTTCACTCCCATCGAGCACATAACTTGTAGAGGAATCAGGCGCTTCGATACGCAGCACTTAACACTGCCCGTTTTATGGACACCAACCACGACAGACCATTCCCAGAGACTATCCAGAGCCCGTTGAAGAGCCACATGACTCTCGGGGACATCAACAATATTTCAGATCTTTAGGTCATCAGCAAATAAGAGCGATAGTACCTCAAGCTCCCCGGCAAGTCATTCACGTAGACTGAGAACAGAGGCGGACCTAGGACAGAGCCTTGCGGAACGCCGCTAAGGACAGCTTGTCAAAACGAATGCTTCCCACATGAATACACTGTTTCCCGTCCATCCAAAAAGCTGACACCTACTAAAAAGCGCGACCAGATATTCCAAAAGACCTCAACTTCAGTGAGAGTCGCGAATGGGGGACAGTGTCAAAGGCATTGGCGAAGTCAATGAACACCACAACCACCGCATGTCCATTGTCTACGACTTCATCTCAGCTCTCACGAGCTGCCAGCAAGTTCGTTTGGAACGAAAATCCTTTGCGCAAACCATGTCGCCCGACGCTAAGCAGATTAAACCTACTCAAATAAATCTCCACTGGATCTCGTACTAATTTTTCATTTAATTTAACGACCACGCTAGTCAGGCTGACAGACCTGTAATTAGCCGGTAGGTCTGTCACTGCACTTGAAAATCGGGCAGACAACAGCCTGCTTCCATTCCATAGGTAAGACACAGCTGTTGAGTGACTTATGAAACACACAAGTCAATGGTCCACTGAGTTCCACTGCCAATTCATGCAGCAATGTTGCATGAACAGAATCTGGCCCGAAGCCCTAGTTGGGTTCACCTCTCTCAGCAACCGCGAACTTGGGACTCAGTTCCAGGAATTTCATTCAGACAACAGTCCTCACCGATTTGAAGCTAGTTCTCTGCATGGCGTATTTGTTTCGCGGACAAAGACGCTTGAGTGCTGCTCACTAAGCACGCATTTCTTGTCATAGTCGCTATAGGCATGGGTCCCATCTCCTCGAAGCAACGGTGGTATAGGCGAGGTTTGCACCACAGCCTCATTTAACCTAGGGGCAGAATTTCTTGGGATTTGTCGAGGCAGTATCAGTTAACCCTTTTCATACTGAAGCCGAAGTGTAGCTTGCACTCATTTCGAACAACCGATACTTGTCAAATGTGCTGTTCG